CAGTTCATTATGGTTTGAATTATCTACTCAGGCAGTCAACAATGTTAATTCACTCAGAAACTATGTTTCATAATTCAGTACAAGAAACAGATTCTTTTTGAAGCTGTGTGTAGCTTTTCTGTTTAAGAGTAAGATAAAGAAACACCTTGCAAAGATTCGATGGAAAATGCCTTTGAAAATGATGGAAAACGTATGAGCTTGACCTTAACTCTGAAAAATAACAATGGCTCATACCTGTTGAAACAAAGCCTTTAATTCTGTGTGTCAGACGTCAGCATTTGAGCAAATAAGTTACTATTAATAAGATGTTTCAGATACCAATCAGGACACCAGTAAAACTGGTCTGAAATTCTGAACCGGCACAGTGTCTCTGAATTACATCTGTTTGTAGTAAAATTTTGTGCTCATTTCTTACTGAACGTGGACAAAGTAAACCTTTTTATATTACTGTTAAAAGCCTAGCAGATGACAACTACATTTGTCTTGCAAATTCTCCTTTTTATGCAAAGTAAAAAGATTCCTAGGTATTATATATAAACTCAAGATACTATGTTCATTTAGCTGAAGGTTTCAACCTCTTTTATTGTTAGCAAATTTAAGATTATTGTAATGTAAATTTACAGTTACCAGTGCTACTGAATAAAACCCAAATCAAAAATTCACTCACAGTATGATGAAACCACTACTCTAACGATTGTATCTTACATAAGTCCTACGTTTATGAAGTTATCATGTTTGCTATATTTAAATAAATTCTCACTTGATGAGGTTTACACCACTCTAACACGAAGCAAGCAAATAACAGTCTACTTTGAAACTTTTTAAAGTCCAAGTGAAAACAGCCTAGATATTTTTACTGGCCTAGATAGGAAATCAGTATTTCAAAGAATTCTATCCCGACATTCATTCAAATATCTTGTATACTTCAGCATTCCGCACCTACACTTGTACGATAAGTGCACCTTCAAAATCAACTGAGGTACCATATTTCACTTGTGACTTAAAGTAAAAATATTGTTTCGTACCTTTAATTAGATTTAAAATAATATCATTCAGTTAAATTGAACATTATAATCTCATAATATTGAATATATATGAAGGGGCAAAAACGTGAGAGTAAAATTAACTCATTCCACAGAAACTGCGATTTTTCAGTGACAAACATTTGTAGGAATGACCGAAGCAAACAGAAGATTAATTTCTGTATGTAAAAAAGTTTAAAATCAGGCAGATAGTCATAACCGATTAACAGTTAAATTAAATACTAGAATATGAATAATTATTCATATGCTTGCCAAAAAATAACTCCCCTAAATATAACTCAGGTAAATGAAGGCATAAAATTCCTACCATCGTTGTAAATTCATATTATAATAAAATTCAAAAAGCGAATAAAATAGGCCTAAAGCCGTTCGAACCAAATGCAATAAATAAAATCCCCACAACCAGAAGAAATCAGTCTCTGTCATATTGAGATAAATCAAACATTATCTAAAAGGCAAACTACATACATTCACAATAACAGCGTTAATTCACCACCATTAACCCAAGAATTTCAAATAACGCAATGATTGAAGTTCATACGAGTTACCTAATTTAAACTAAACAACTTTCGATAAATTTAATTTACCTGCTCATGTTTCATCATATATTTTCAATCAATTTCTATGGTACAAATCGAGTAAATACAGTTGCAACTGCCATGAATCACCGAATGTTATACGTGTTTTTTATTTTTATTTACTCGATTGAAGCATTGGTGACTGTACCGCATTAGAAGCAATTATTGTGGATTACAATCATACATTTAAAGTGTTTTGCGAAAAATTAGAGCAGCTTTTCTATTTATGTGAAATTAAAGCACGTTGTAAGTAGAGATCACTCACTTTCCCGAAATTATACGTAAAATCGTAAGATAATTTACAGTCAAAAGTTAGAGAATAAGCTGCTTAATAGTGCATCTAATTACAGTTTCATTCGTGAGAGGAAGATAGAAAAGACTCAAGTGGCTTTTTGGAGAAACAAACCCATAAATAAAGTGTTTTGTCTTTAAGCGTTCAGAGAAAATCTTTTCCTAGCCGATAGCTAATGAGCCAAGTAGGATTCTGTGGTATTTTTAAGAGGAAGGGGTTTCCTATCAATATAACCGCAAAAATAAATGCTGTCGCCTACATTTGCTTATTTTCAGTCTCTGTTGCATACCTCTAGTCTTCTCGAGGATACAGATTTTAATTCATACCTGAACGTTATTACATTTGACAGTTAGTTTCAACAGTTATATGGAAAGTCATAACAGGCTGAAGGTTTGCGGCACATATCCGCGTAATATTTTACACAATGCAGAGACAATAAGAAATAAGTAAACATATTGGATACCAGCAGTGGAATAAGGCCGGTTTTATCCTACGTATTCTCCAATCAGGATTCACTTTGGATCCGTAACCAAAATTAATATAACTGAGAGTATAATTACATGGATGTGGATACGCTGTTTTGGAAAAATAATAACATAATCAGTATCCTTCTTATATGATTGCGCATAGGTTTCATGAATGAATTCTAAAGATTAGTATCGCCTAATTGAGTATATATTGTGCGTCGGTGGCATAGCGGCTAGGACGCTCGCCGGCCATGCACATGGCCCGGGGTTCGATCCCCGGCCGACCCACTCCTTTACCTCGTTAAGCCAAAATAATGCTGGTAGAGAGGAAATGTTGGGCATGAGGCTAGCAACTCCATCCTGTAAAATAAACAATTCTACAGAAACCTCAAGCCACTAGTTTGAAGCCCTATGTTCCACTGGGTTATGTAAAGGAAAAATTAATTGAGTATATGTGTTACTTATTTGTCATAGAGAGTGGAAACATTAATCAGAATCACTGTGTTAATAAAACAGATACCTTCTGTTATAAATTAGCAATTTGTAACTTCTCGAATTGACGGAAGTCACTTCATTTCTTCACTTCTCACGATTTAGCAGACATGACGCATAGAAAATCTTCGCAATCACTTTCTAGAAAACACTCCAGATGTGTGAAAAGGGAGATGTATATCTTTCTATATGGCGATGCCTGAAAGTATTTGATGAAAAGCATACAACTTGACCTTAACTGACTTCTGAATTCCCCACTTTCATCTGAGAGTACTTTCGCTCATACACCAATCATTGACTCTACATTTATCCAAACACCATAAAGTAAAATCTTTCTAGTTATCAGGCACTTACACGAACTGGTGCATATTACCTTAGAAAAGAAATATGTCTCTATTTGAGGCAGGATAATTCCTTCCACAACTGTCGGAATCATGGAATGAAGCTTATTCCATTTGTCACACCGTGAAGAAAGCATTCGCAAATAGTAATAAGCTTAAAAGGCGTTGTCAATGGAGTTGAAGATTGAACGATCAATTCTTGGTTGTTTGCTCAAAATCAACTTCCCCAATTTTCGCGGAGGCATCAATACGACAGTCATCGTCTCATCGGTCGCTGTTCAGAAAGAAGTCAGGAGACAACCATCAGAAGTATTCTTGTGATTTATTATTGTAATATTTGTTCACAGACGTTAGTGGAAATATTTTTTATATGTTGGTGTTACAATAAAGAATTCCCAAGCGGGCAATCGGTGTTTTGGTTTTTGCGTCCGTTATTACTAAGCGTTTCTGAAAAACTTCAAGGAACAGCGTGAGCCCGAGCGTAGCAAGAGCTGGGCATTAACGGTTTATGAGACGTGACTGACAGGCGTTATCAACTGTTCTAAAACCACTTGCCTATGTGGGACAAGATATACTTACTTATTTACCTGAGCTGGCGAAATTTCTTTTTTCGACACTCACTTTCTGCCAACTAGTAAATAAACGTGTGAGGTATTAATGCTTCCCAAGGTTTCAGTTGCATCACGCATTAAGGGTTGGAAGATGTTTGACAAGACATTTCGAGGCGATAGTGGCCAACTGATAAGCGTAGGCAATATCTCAACCATGGTGGCTTTAGTGCCATTTTGCACACATAGCCCTAATGTTCTTCCTCTCTAACAGCTACCTATGCTGAGTTTGGTTTACAGTTCCAAAAACTGATTGCTAAGAAATTCTGCCACAGAAACGTATTCCGTATTAGAATGAGCTTCTTCGAATGGATGAAACTTCTGTAACTTAAGCGGCTGAGAAGTGACTGCTGTTTCTTTTACCCGCTTGGATTGCTTCGTCCAAGGGTAATTAAGAGCTGGGAAGATTCGGTATATAGTCAAATTTTTGTAACACCTTTTATTCTTCAGTTTCAGAAAATGATTCATCGTCCATTATTGACTACTTCTTTGAAACCAATCATGAGGAGTCTGGGTTTCGCTAAACTGCTTGATATCTCTGCGAAAGGCGTTCCAAGCTAAGTCAGTGGTAGCCTACATGGAATTATTTCTAACTAATTGTCTTCACCATACTTTATTCAAAGATTTTTTCGCCATTTCTATGAAGACAATCTGCTGCAAACTTGTCGCCAACTGAAGCACATTCTACGGTTGGAAGTCTTTAGCTTCCTTCCTTCTTCGGTTTTTCAATTCTGACAGAGGCATAAGGGTCAAATTTATACAACTTATGGGATAAATTTTGCATGATTATCAATAATGCCACTGTTCAGCCTTTTCTTTCGTGAAAATCTGACGAAGGGCGTAGTACAATTTTTTCCTGAACCTGACAAAAACACCAAATTATCGACTGGTGTAGCTGTCAGTTTGATAGTAGGTGGCGTAAGCCCATTTTTGCACAAAGCAGTATTAATGATAATGTTCGAAAAACATGTGATGAATAACAATTAGGATAATCCTCCACTTAAGACGATAAATGGATATCGGTTGGAGAATGAAACTCAATGTTCATAACCACACACGAGATATTCAACGTCATAATCAATATAGTTGCATCTTGTTTGATGAATCTAGTTAGTAGCACCACTGAAGGAACAGTAAGATCCAAGACCAACTCCTTCGACTAACTGGCATTCTAAAAACTATGGAAAACTCGGAGAAACAAGATTCGCGGCTTAGAAAGTTTTAGACGCACCAACCATTTCGCATTGAATACAATGCATCTAGATGCAACAGAATTCCCCGCTAAGTATAGTAGCCACGTTACACGATGGAGTTTATTGATACATATGAAGAAAGTGACAAATTAACTATTATGCCACTGTAAGAATTTAATTTTTCTATTTGATGGAAAGTATATATTTAATTCTTCTCATGAGATACTGTCATATTGCATAGTGCGGGAGTCTGCTTCGGAATGCAGAATATCGATATATCTGATCATTTTAATGTGTTCGTAAAACAATCTCTACTCGGTTAATTTCTCTTGGATTTTGTCACTTTTCAGTGGTGTTTCAGCCGCAGTTGAAAAGCAAAATCTGTTAGGTCTAGAAGCACAGGTGTCTATGCATGTAAAATTTTAAAAGTATTCAAGCATGAATGAATACAAAAACAATCCATGATTGCACTAGGATAACGGTTAAGTGACAACTCAGGATAATTATTTGTTTATTTTTACGCATAATGTTCTAGCTACCGTGCTTCGCGCATGTATTAATTCTGAACTTATTCTAACTTGAGCATAGAAAATGCATTTTTATGCCAGATAAATATTTTATCTACCGGAATTGAACTCACTACGTACTGTAATAATGCTGATAGTCCTTAAAAAAGCACTGGACGCCTAATTAATGTGACAAAACTTTAAAATTAGGATTTGTAGCTGAAATAGAGCTGAAAGAATTGCTAGTATGTGCTGAATTAAGTCTTTTTATTCCGAAGAAATGCCAATCACTGCTGAATCTGGACTGAGAGGTTTGAAAGAACACTGATTGGCAAACCCAGTATGTTCCGACCTACTTCCAAAAAAGCCTAGAAAAAGCATATGATACTGAATTAGTGCCAGTCATGCTGAAAACCAGCACTGAGTTCTAGTGTTTGCGCATTTCAGAATTTCCTCCTTATAGAATGTCAGAGTTGGTTCAAAATTAGCGAGATTTAATACAGCATTATTGTAAGCTTGGGTTTCGCAAACCTAGGTTTAATACAACCCTGTGCCTTAAATGCAGTTACTTTATTGTTGAATTTCAGTGTCATCGTATTTAAATTCATCTTTTATGAAGAGTACACTTGGTTTCTTATACATTTGGCTTGTCAGTATAAAGCTAGTAAATTACACTACTCAAATTTACACCTATTCAATTCCAACTAGGGTATGCCAATATAATGCTCTGTATATGTCCCTTATAGGTACAAAAATATAGGTTTTTTTCCGTTCAGAAAACAGTACTCATGTATAGTGACGGAGGAGATAAATATGTGTTGTCACCTCAGTTCGCTAATTATTGTCTATTGCACAAACACAACTCTTTTAATAAACTTCACCCACGTGTTGAACTGGTCATTTTTTCCTAAACAAGTCAACTCCACGAAATCTGACCCAGCTGGTATTCTGTGTAATTTTATACTGAATGGGTTTTTTACTTGGAAATTCTCGCAAATATAGCCGTTCAGGTTACCACCTTAGAAAAATATCCGAAGAAAAACCCATTCATGAACACAGAAAATAAATATGTGGAGAATAATAAGCATTCATTGAACCTATATGATAACAAGGAGTGGATGCATTTGTACAATTGGGAAAAATTTTGAGCCGTGTCACCAAGTCTCAAGCCATTGGCTCTTAGCATCTCGACGACCCCAATCATATAGTCCACGCTTCCCTATGTGGCTCAGACCAACATTCAACCTCATGAACTGATGGTATTTTTTACTCGACCACCCATAAATTTTCTCCAGCCTAACCTTTGTCAACCAACTCTCCTTGATATGGAGGGCGCTGGTTTGGCAAACATAACATACTCTAACCCCTTTAATCGGTGCACTTTTACAGCCTTGTCAATTAATTCATCTTACTTAACTCATACTAAGCCCAACCTCAGTACTAATCACAATATCATGCCACTTAGCACAGGAGATGCATGGCAAAAAACGGTGGCCAAAGACGGTTAGCTTCAAATCATCCACTTCTAAGGATCATAGCTCACGGCAATAAAAAAGGACGGAGCAAATTTCTAAGCACTGCACACATCCGGATATCACATCTACACCAAAGATGACATACTGTCAAACACTACACAGACTTTTGTATTTGCGCAGAGATTTTACTAGCAATTAGTCAACCAGGATTTGTGCCAAGTCTCAAGATAAGTGAAGTGTCTAATTCACTCAACCTTTTTACTCCCTATCCTTAAACTGTGAATCAGTGCAAACCAGCCACATAGCATCATCTTTCATTTGGAAGGGTTGAATCGCATCTCAAAAATTTCAAGATTTCTGCTGAAGTTTTCAGAAGACTGCATTTTCTCAGCTTTTTCACTTAGACGAACAATTTCATCTGCACACTAAAATCGACAAGACTGTCCCTAATAACAAGTCGACCTTTGAGTCGCTAAAGTTGGCTGCAGATATATCCATTAGTAAATCTGTCAATAAATCCTATTCCTGGTCTGGAAGTTTATTTTTACGGGTTTGTTTCTCCGGAGTACTTGTCACTCTATATATGGTTATTTGACCTAGAGTTTCGGTTACTACAGTAGTCAAGTCAATCCCCTTACGATTACCATGAAGAAATGTATCTCTTACAAACTGTGACAATCAATGACTCACCAGTTCAGCAGGATTTGCACAGATTCCCAAAGATTACCAAATGTCTTGCTCAACTCAGACAATAGTTCGTCACCATTGTCCTTAAACACCTTTAGAGTCACGTTATTGTCCCACAGCTTTACTTCATTTCATACTAGAGGAAGCTTTTGCAACTTCCGCGAAAGCTGGAGGACTGATATCTACATCTCACACAAGTAAGCATTGTATGCTGTGCAAATTGAGTATAGCTTTAGGGTATTTAAATTACTTCTCAGTGTTTTTTCTAATATCAATGCATAACTGTTAGTCTGAACCATATAAGAAAAGCTAAGCTTCCGGAATAGTGTCTGCCTAAGGACCGAAGTCCGTACTGAGAAACCAAAAGATCTGATATTCAACCAACCATAGTTCCTCGATGATTGAGCGGTAGAACGCTTGACAACCACGCATTTGGTCCGGGGTTCAGTCCCCGGCGAACGCATTCCTGAACCTCTCTAAACCGACAGTAAGGCTGGTAAAAAGGTGAGGTTAGGGATGAGGCTAACAGCTTCAAACCCTTGAAAATAGTCACTGCTACCGAAACTTTAAAGCCCAACGTCCCACCAGGAACGTAAAGGAATAAAATTTAAAAAAATAAAATAGTAGAACAGACTGTATATACAAAAGTTGACTTAGGCATTTCTGTCCATCTTATTACCGTATCCTTTCATATTCTAATTATCTTATTGTGTCTATTGTCATGTGCTATGTTTCCCTCGGTTGGATTGTTTGCAAACTCAACCCGTTAGGGAATGTTCTGGTTAGTATTTTGTTTAAAATCATTATTTAGTGGTCCTATCCCTAGCCAACTAACCTACAGTTTTTTTTCATAGAGTATAATGGTACACAAAGAGCGTATTTATTACAAATACTGATATAAGTAAATTCCCCGAATAAATTTTCAATTTCAGTTTGTTATATAACTCACCGCCTTTTCTTTGGTACCATTTTAGGGGAGCTGGTCAAGAAGTTGGGAGATCATGCATTCTGTTGACTTTCAAAGGCAAGAAGATAATCGTAAAACGTGTTTTTTTGAATTATTTAGTCTTTAGTTGGACTGTGGTATTCATCCTGGTTTGCGCAATAGAGAGAGCCTTCCATTTATTGATGCTATTCCGGATATCGAAACAACAGACCTCATTTTAATCAGCCAGTAAGTAACTCATATAAAGTATAAAAACGACATAGCTTCCATCTTGACCACTGTGGTGGACTTCCTCATTTACTTTTAAAGACTGGAACTAAGTCAAAGTGTTATATGACACATGCAACAAAAGCCATTTATCGTTATTTGTTGGCTGACTTTGTTCGTGTTAGGTAGGTTCTTCCAATAAATTAAACATGTTCATTTACTCAGTAATTCTTCCGGCTTACCAGATCAGTCACTCTATACCGATCGAGATATCGTGGCTAGCTTGGACCATATTGATACCGTAGATTTTCATCAGGAACTTGAAGTCAATGGGATAAAATTTACTGCTTACCATGCTGGACACGTATTAGGTGCAGCCATGTTTCTAATAGAAATTGCTGGTGTAAAAGTTTGTTTTGTATTCCAGTGAAAATTCATGAGACTGTTTCAGATTTTATACACAGGAGATTTCAGTAGACAAGAAGATAGACATTTAATGTGTGCTGAGGTCCCTCCCGTGCGACCAGATGTTTTAATAACTGAAGCCACTTATGGTATTCACATACATGACAAACGCGAAGAGAGAGAAGCTAGGTTTACTAGCTTGGTACATGATATTGTCTCTCGTGGTGGACGTTGCCTAATCCCAGCATTTGCACTTGGAAGAGCTCAGGAATTAATGCTTATTCTTGATGAATATTGGGAAAATCATCCAGAACTACATGATATACCCATTTACTATGCTAGTCAACTTGCACGAAAATGTATGGCAGTGTACCAAACATACATTTATGCTATGAATGAGAAAATTCGTAATCAACTGGCTAATAACAACCCATTTTGCTTTCGCCACATATCCAATTTGAAGGTAAGTATGTGACATTGAAAATTTTTCTGGTATAATTTTTTATTTTAGAGTATTGAACACTTTGATGATTCTGGTCCGTGTGTAGTTATGGCCAGTCCAGGGATGATGCAACCTGGTTTGAGTCGGGAGTTATTTGAAAATTGGTGCACAGATAAACGTAATGGTGTTATTATTGCTGGATATTGTGTTGAGGGTACTTTGGCTAAACAAATCTTGTCTTTACCGGCTGAGGTGCCTACAATGTCGGGTCAGATGCTACCATTAAAGTGTTCGGTGGATTATATCAGTTTCTCAGCTCACACGGACTATCAACAGACTAGTGAATTTATCAGAGAGCTTAAACCAAGTTATATTGTAAGTCACCTTTTGCTTTATACCAATTCAATATCTTCCCTTCGTAAAATCTGTCGAATCTGATTCTGAGTTATTTATACGCTAAGGATGTAGTGATTTCATTGCTTAAAATTTAAATTCAATTGTGAAGCGTTATCAGCTCGAAAACAATTGAAAATAAGAAGCATTGCACAGCCAAGGTCTGAGAGTGAACCGAACTTCTTTTTCCAGACTAACTGCAATTGAGTATAATCTCTGTTATCTGTTTTATAGCTACAGTAGGGTAGTTTCTTGCAAGCCTAATTTCATAGTCTGTCTGTAACCTGATACAGATTTAATGTACTAGACTGAAATACACTTAATATATACCTGGGCAAATAGATCCTAGTTTAGACTCTGTGATCTGATAACTGAAATCCATGTTCCTAAGCCTATATATATATATATATATATATATATATATATATATATATATATATATATATATATATATATATATGTTGTAGGGGCATTGATGAGAATTCAATTAAAAATTATTGTTTCTTCTCTCCATGTATTACTTCCTTAACTGTAGAAACCAGGGAGTACTTTGTCAGTGTAGATTAGGCCAGGCTTATTATAATCTCACTTCTGTATATTGAATTTCTTTCCATTCCTCTCAATTCAATTTTTATCTATGTTTAATGGAATCTAGAGTGTTAATGGAAATTTTTAGATAGAAAGTTTCCACTGTTTTTAATGTCTACTGAAATGTTGTGAGTAGCTAATTGAGTCTTTTCCGAAATATTCTCCGTTTTTGGTTTTGTCAAGAAATGCAGATAAAACGCAGAATGATCTCGCCATTTGACATTCAAAGTTTACGCAAGTGTTTGAGAGGAATGTTCTGACATTGTAGGCTAAAAAAAACAATACACTCACTAACTTTCACAATGTAGTGATCTAGGTGTAGGAGATTCACAATTCTTTTTAACTAGTAAAAAGTGATGCAGGAAACACTGACTGACCAACCTAACAAAGTAGAACTTTGAACAAAATTTATTTGTTCAAGTTGGCACATTTTAGGAAGGCTCACAAAATGAAAGGAAATCAAACTTAAAGCAACTTTAATGGTCTCTAACTATTAATTTCTGGCATCTTGGAGACTTACAATTCTCCCCCACCTTGCTCGGAATAACTGTCATTGGCTTTATGGGTTGGGTTCAAATTTTCATCCCTCGCTCCTAACTCTTTAAATCCATTCTTATATAAGCTAACATTGCTTCTTGAAAAAGGCAGCGTAAGACATGTCATTGTAATCTCAAATGATTGAGCTTCGCAATGTCATCGATTAACCATTACTCCATATCCAACACTCAACACCTGACCTCATTATTACTTAATATATTGTTCCACTTAACAAGGAGATTAAGTGAATTCATTTTTCATATCTTTCACTTTCCGAAGCTATTTCTGACAGCCTTGAAGTAGAAAGAAATGGGGAAGCTAATAAACTGACAAGGAAGGGAGATGAACATAAAAATCTCTTATAATGATAGAATTATATCCTTGGTTGCTATTCCCCGGTTGTCTAAATCATGAGAGTTGAGTTTTTACTGAAGTATCTGGAAGGAGGAAATCGTTAATTCTAGGTGACATTAAAGCCGATAAAGCCATCGTTTAAAGGCAGTTAAACACAGTCTGTGTGAAGATTTAGTTGGCTAAGTTTCATCTGTACGGATAACCTGGCCACTAGCTTCGAAACACCTCAATGTATGTCGGGATGTGCATTTTTCGAAGCAGTCTTTTTCTTACCTCTACTCCACAAATTACGATTATATTATAGTTGGCTTGTTATTCGTTTAAAGACTACCTCTATTTGCTAGCAGTATTGGTTCGCCCTCACTACCCATTATAGTACAAGTAACTTGCACTATTTTGTTTACTGCTTTTAGTTTAACTTTTATCCAGCCGAATGTTGTTATGGTAGGATATGAATACTTCACTAGGTTATTATGATGTTTAAGCCTAGCCTTGCGTCTAGTTATCAGCTTTTGGTTAAGATACAGGAACTAACATAATAATGTATTGGTCTAGGTTGCTGAGATTCACATTGGAACACCTAGTTTAAAGTTAGCAAGCTGATTGACGAAAAATCCAAAAACATGTATCAACCGTTGTAAAAACAAAAAGTGCTAGTAGACGAAATTGAAAAAGATATATGGTGACGGATTTTTCAAAGCCAGGCTTCACATAAGCATTGCGTTCTTGTAGCAATTTATTCACACTCTGAAAAGTGAATTCTTAGTTTGATGAACTGAAGGTATAGCGATAATTAACGGGACTTCCTACCGTTCAATCAATTTTAGGACAGTTGCCAAGTTGTTTCATACTTATTTCCCTTTTCTGATAAACAGTAGGCCATACGTTTGATGTATTGATCCAGGTATCTGATGTAGCGTTTAAGACTGCTTGTTTATAGCATTGCTTTTATCTATAACATTTTGTTAATTATTACCGTTATATCGAAAATACTCCGAAATGTTATGGTATAAGTGGCCTTAAAGAGGCTAACCAGTTGTGGAGATATATGCGAGTCATGAAATTATTAAGTATCACTCTTATTTTTATCAGTTCGTGAATGTTGCTCGTTTACTGAGAACAATACAGATCGAACGTTATAAATGTAATATAAAGTTGATGTGCACTCGACTACTAATCATTCGGTCAAAGTTTTGAACCCTGTCTTGTTTAACACACTGTCAATCCAAATTCTAATTTCGTAAGTGAAATTGTTTAATTATTACGTGTTATTGATGTGTCTTGTTTTCAGGTGTTAGTACATGGTGAACAGAATGAAATGCTCAGATTGTGTGGTGCATTACAACGTGAGTACGAAGATGATGAAACGTGCAGACTAGAAATATTCACACCTAAAAATTGTGTTCCAGTTAATCTACGTTTTCGTGGTGAAAAGGTCGCCAAAATTCTGGGCAGTCTTGCTCACAGTGCTCCTAAAAAAGGTCATACTATTTCAGGTGTTCTTGTAAAAAAGAATTTTGCTTATCATATCTTGACACCTGGAGAATTACCCAGTAAGCAATTCTGTTTTGTATTTTTGACGACATCGTCTGCCTTTTCTTCAGGTCTTTTAGGAATAAAAAAGATACAGTGTGCTATTGTAGAAGATGTTTTCAGTGCTATAACTACTTCGACGAACTCTATAGTTAGCATAGATGTTTATTAAGACAAATTTACGCGATCTTAAGATGTACATGTAGACGAAAATCTTACTATATTGATGTTAGTTTATTACAACTCACATCTAGATTTTTCACATTAGCTCTAATTTGTTCTTGTGCTAAGTAGTAGTTAGTTTCAAATATCTCTTGTTTCATTTAAATTTCGCCTCATCTGACAATTCGTAGAAACTCACGTCAGATGTTAGAGCAGGACTACCAAGGTTTGCATTGGGTCATTATTCATTTATTCACAGACATCTGGATTCATAACTTTTTTACATCCACATAAGTACAGTTATACTTCTTTCTGTTTGATTGAAAAGCGTGTTATATGAATGCATTGTAATGTACCTTTCAGTAGTGCAAGTTAAAGGACGCAGAAGAAATAATTAAAAAGAGTGTCAGGCTTAAGAAATCATAAAGTAGTAAAGTTTCTATCGTTTATAGTTAGGTAAAGAGTAGATATGTAACGGTAGAAGACAAGAAACTTGCTAAAGGATTTTTTTTATCTGAAATATGATATCTCTATATAGCGAAATTATGTACGCCTTGTCTTCAAATCACCATGTGCACAAGTCTTCTGTGTCGTGCTGCTTCTGTCCTTCATATTGTGTTTCTTTCACGTCTTCCATGTTTTTCCACAACGCTGTATCCTTTGCTTTTTTTGACATCATATCCATCTGCTTGCTATTTAGTGTTTGTATGCCGATGAACGTCTCTTAACATTTTTTTTACTTCACGTTCCCCAATGGAACATAGGGCTTCAAGCTAGTGGCTTGAAGTTTCTGTAGCAGTGTTTATTTTACAGGATGAGGTTGCTAGCCTCATGCCCAACCTTTCCTCTTTACCAGCATTATTTTGGCTTAACGAGGTAAAGGAGTGGGTCGGCCGGGGATCGAACCTTGGACCACGTGCATGGTCGGCGAGCGTCCTAACCGCTGTGCCACCAACGCTTTACATACTACTGATAAATCTTATCAGTAGCACACGCCACAGACATAACCATACTGCTTTATTCAGTTTCGTAACACATCACCTAAGATTTGCAACTACTGATCTTTTGCGTTTCGCCAGGCTTATCTACACGATTTGCACTTTCTTAGAAACTTAGCCAATAAGGGTAACATATAGGTTTTTGGTTATTCTAAGGCTTTTAGACCTCTTTTTGTTTACCATCTGTTATAACACGTCAAAGTAGGAGCTGCATGTCACACTCATTTCAGTAGGCTATAGTTATGGAAATCTCATCAACTGAATTTCTCTATCCATGATTGTTTTCACCTAAGAGGAAAAACTCTTTCTAGGTAGGTATCAGTAACTGATTACTTTTTGTTTCATTGCATATTCCTTCAAAGGATATGTCGTCCAGAAGATGATAAAGCAGTGTAGAAGACTGCAATATCGATGTAACTAAACCTTTATTACTTACCACTTGAATATTGTTTCACCATGATAGGAATACAAAGGAAGTAACAACTGAAAAGACTCAGTCAGCTGATCACAGACTTCTTGTGATTTATGTACATAAATGATTCAGTTCTGTCATCAAGACGTGAAGGGTGGAGTGCGCATTTGTGGATAAGTATTAAAAACTACATACAATTAAATTGGTTATCAGAATGATAGCATAACTTCAATTAACGTTATTCTCTTTATTTTCGTCACTCATATTTTCTACTCATATATATTTAGCTTACACTGAGCTAGCTACAACTATTGTAAATCAAGTTATTTCAATTCCATTCACTGGAAGTGCTAGTCTTTTAAAATTTCACTTGGCTCTACTTGCTGGCACCGTAGAACTTGTATCACAAAAACCTGATAGCGTACACTATTGTGTATTTGATGCTATCAATATCACTTGGAAACCACAACAGATCACTATGGAGGTAAGTTTTATCTATGGATAGCTATTTAGTTTGGTCTTTTATGACATATTAAAGTTTACTTAAGGAATATTGAACAAGTGATCCCGGAAGACACCGAATTCTCAAACTTTATCAGTTCAGATTGCACGGTATAACTCTTGGCACTTTATTATCTAGTGTATCATAAAGTAACTAACTTTTTCCTTAAAAAAATTGAAAACTTTTAAGAATGCTTTACTAGCGGATACGATGCACTGTAACGGTAAACACCTTTCAGTCATACTTGATCTTTTCACGATAGTCTGTCACCTTGTAAGAATAACACATGCTGGATCATTGCCAGAATTTCTTATTGTAATTTAAGACGCTAATTATTCTATAAAACTGACGTTCTCCTTAAAAAGAGATCATCTATATGAGGTAATAATATTCGAACAACGAGTTAATACGAACATATTAATTGAAAGTAGGCGAAGTTTTCCACTTTCTGTATACTACCGATTGATTGAGATGAATACTTGCATGCCACTCATAGTGCTTAGTAACGCAATCAAAGTAATGTAAATACCGCAAAGCTGTTTCGCTTGTCTTTATTCGGCATTCGGTTCCGTCGACCTATAGGTATTACGGCGATGTTTGACTGTGAGGGGGATGCCGAGAAAATACATTGCACTAATCAAGGTACTCTACTCGAACTCATGCAGCCAGGTGAGTGCTTACGGAGAGTTGTTATCTGAAGTGGTGTCCATCAGGGATGCCCACTGTCCCCATTTCTATTTAGTTTCATCATAGATGTTTTAATGGAATTAACCCTAACTGCTAACTTCAGAGACTCAGGGATTGACGTGTTACCAGGGAATAATAGTCTTGTTGACTTAGAATATTCAGATGATATAGTCCTTCTAGGTGAAAATGCTGACAAAATGCAGAGTCTTCTAAACGCTTTCAGCTGCAACCTGCGAATGATTGGCATGCAATTTGCTACCGCCAAGTGTGAGATTGAGGCAGAGGACTGGACTACACTGACTCACACCTAGCTTAGAGATAGGGAGTGAGGTGGTAGAGCGTGTTGACCGCTTCACTTATTTGGAAAGTTGCATCAGCCAGTGCCAACGTGTTGATCGCTGACGAATTCTCAGCACGGATACTGAAGGGCCTTTTGCTTTGTGCCAACTTACGCTATACCTAGCGCAGGCGTGATATCTGGCTGTCGATCAAAGGGCGTGTGCACTGCTCAGTAGTCCTCTCTGTCCTCCTTCATTGCTGTCAGTGAGACATGGCCATAGAAAGTGGAAGACATGAAAAGGCCGGCTAACTGTTTTTGATCATAGGTGTCTGCTTTCTATCTCCCGTGTAAAGTGGTATAGTTGGGTGAGCAATATTCAGATAAGCCGTCGAGTTTTAGATAAGGAGGGGGAATCAATAGACGAGGCTATGAAGCTACATCGACTAAAATGGTTAGGATATGTGGTATGCCTAGCCGTCGCCTTCCGCGAAGGGCAACGTTAGCTGACATAGAGTCAGGTCGGAAAAGAGTCAGTGGTGGTCAAACCAAAACGGGGCATCAGTCAATTGGATCCACAACAGTTGGTTTAAGCCAGCCACTGAGGGAGGTGTAGACTTCCGGGTTGGGGTCCTTGGGATGGTAAAAACCAGTGGCTGGAGACAGTTGGTGATATGGCTCAAAATTGTTCTCACTGGTGCAGATGCATCCACTCTTCGTGACTTATAATACCCAATAAAACTATGTTGTTCTTCGATATTACTATTCTTTTTGCCTCATATCTCTGTTTACTTTCACTAATTTGCATTTCTTTTTACTTTTATATAAGAATAAAACTTGTGCACTGTGGTAGAGTGTAATTCCATTATGGGCAAAATTTGTTTTGACAAAGTCTCACATTGTTATACAGTAATGTTTACTGATGACGTTTCGAGCACAATTTATTGCTCATAATCATATCTACACCGGCACACTAGGCTTTTACTGTTCGGTTATTAGAGAGGTCGCACTAGTTGTGAAGGCTTCCGGGCGAAGTTAAACTTTCGACCCCACTAACTACCAATCAGCGAATTATCCAATGAGATACACGAACGATGTCGAATTATCCAATGAGATTCACGACCGTAGTTCAATGTTGTATAGCGCTTGATTCATTTCTAATGCGTGACCTTACAAGGATATTCTTGCAATTCGAGGAGGTTAGCGTTTTCCAGTATTTCCTGGATTTGAGTTGCTCCGTAAAGAGCGAATTTGTGGTGACTCTAAATAATAGCGGCCCAAACCGAAACGACCTTTTAACGCAAAAATGACCTTGACAGGGACAACTCCGGCCAATGAGAAGGCTCAAAAAGGAAGGCGCATAATTGTAAAAAACGGTTTATATATAAGTAATGCAATCATAATAAACAGTTACAAAGGATGGCGCTCGCGTATATGTTTCAAAAAAACCTCCCAGTTTCTCATGGGAGTCTTCATAGTCGTATGAAACCAGTTTCGGTACATAAATTCATCCAGGTAACTGTAAATCATGGTATTTCTCGATCCATTAACCGCTCTTATACGTCTTTTTAGACGACTCCTAAAACTTTCAATGGAACTGGTGTGGGTTCCATCTAAAGGATTCCGGAAACCGTCCGTATGATTAACAACATGATGAATGTACCCATGATTCGATAATTGACGGTATCCGCTGCATTCATCTGTATGAATAGTCGTCCCCGGCAACACCAAACGCTTAATAATAGGCACTAATACTGCTGCACTGCGACTGGGAATCGCTTCTATATACCCTTTGCGCAGTGTCGTGTTGTAGATACCCAGTATCCACTACTGGTTTGCTTGTAATCTCCCACGGTTGTATTTCCTTTTTATAAGTACAGTCTCATCGATATGGACTATGCTGCCGACTCCTCCGAGAACTTGAGTCAGGGTGTTCATTTTCCAGGAGGAAACATCTCTGCAGTAGTTGTACCATTGCACTGCTGACAGCTCTGAATTTTCTGTTTCATAAGCTGTAGCTGTGACTGCTCTTTTCAGGACCCAGAAGTTACAGATCATTAAAATTTTCGTCAAAGGTAGTTTAGACCTTGAGAGAAAAGTTCCTAAGGGATCTGTAAACTAAAAAACAACAACAAACCTTCTCGAACCGATTTCTTCCTTCGGCACTCAATACATCTGTATACAAAGCCATCAATGGCTTCTGTCTATTTTTGTATATGCATAACTCCTCCGCATTGGCAAATTTTCGACAAAGCTATCAGTCCGTTATCCAAACAGTAATCGAAAACATCCATGATTACATCCGAAAATGATGCAGTCAGCTGATTCCTTCCTCAAGGTCACTTTTTTGTCCGAAGGTCGTTTCGGTTTGGGCCGCTATTCTTTAGAGTCACCGAATTTGTTTGTGTGGTGGTATCATGACTTTAAAAAGCTATACCAAATCAACTGATGGGTTTGTTCATCGTTGTGCTATATGTTTGAAGCCTACTAACGCTAGAGAGGGTAAGATTCAGATTTATTGGTTGAGGATAGAAGGCTTGAAGCCTATGTTAATCCTTTTCTAGTAGATTTCTGTGGTTGTCCAAACCCTTCTTGAACGAATCAGTTGAGGTTGCAGACACCACTTCTTCTGGGAGTCGGTTCCAAGAGTTTATGACTCGATGTAAGAACCAGTACTCAACAGCAATATGATTTCTCCTTGGCTTTTGAACTTTCCTGCTGTGTCCTCTAAGGTGTTCCGACCTGGTGGGAAGGAAAAGAGAGAATAGGTCAGGTCCGTAGTCATTATTTAAAATTTTAAACATTGTGATTAAATCTCCCCTCTGCCTACGGTATGACAGTGAGAAGAGATTTAAACTATCTAGTCTTTCCTCGTATGATAAGTTAGCTATGCCGTGAACCATACGTGTTGCCTTCCTTTGAACACTTTCTAGAATGTGTGAATCCCCTTTTAGACAAGGACTGGCGGCCTGGATGCAGTTTTCCAGTCTTGACCTAACCAGAGATGTGTATAAGGAGGTGAACATATCTCTGGTAATTCTTGTAAAGGCTCTGCAAATCGCCCATAAGGACCTGAAACTACGTGCAGCCACCGCGCGACAGTGTGCTGTAGTTTTTAAGTCGTGGCTAACTATGACACCTAAGTCCAAGTGAGTCTGAACTGATGGAAGTGTTATTCCCTCTAATTCGTAGGGGCTTGTGCTTGATTGTCCAATGCGCATGGTTGCACATTTTGCCACATTGATCGGGAGCATCCATTCAACAGACCACTCCGACAATTTGTTATTTTATAATATTTCGTAGGAACTTTTTTCGCTAGGTCGCTTCTCTCCCTAAGGATAGCAGATAGAAAAGCAACTACTCTTATACCTATTATTACCAGACTTGTTAAGCGGGGGTCAGTTATACACACCGACGAGTGGAAAGGCTACAATTCACTGTCATCTCTGAGATATATTCATCATAGAGTCAACCATTCAAGTGATTATGTGGATCCCGTTACGAGGACACATACAAATTCTATTGAAGGATTTTGGGGCAGGTTGGAAAATAGGATAAGGGCTATAAATGGATCTCAAAAGGATCTCATCTATGGTCAATTGGATGAATATATGTACAGGATATGGTGTAACTTCTCCATTGACAGTCCCATGCTAAACTGGGAGATGTTTCTCTCACATGTTCGAGAAAGATATCCCATGTAACTTTTTTATTCTCTATTTTATGCTTTTTTCTACAAATATACATTTCCATTCATCATATATGCCTCTTTAATGTGACTGGTCCGTTCAAGGTCGTTTGCTGATTGGTTTTTAGTGGTGTCTAAAGTTTAACTTTGCCGGCTTCCGTATTCTATTTCTTATAACAGTGTAAGGGTGTAGTTAGATATCTCTTTAGGGTTTCTTGATTTCACTGTTATTTGTTCTAATGAGTAACCAAACTGATTCATTACAATGCAATACGATGTTAATTTCAGTGGCAATCCAATCCTATAAATGACATGTATGCAGATTCTGTACAGAATTTGATATTACGGGCTGCTATGCAAGGAATGCCTCCTAGAGGTAAGTATGCCTGAAATGATTTCGGCTTCTTTCTTTTCTTTTTTTTTAATATTCTGTCCAATAAAAAATCTCATGTCAATTAACTTAATTTGTATTAACACATTTTAATCTCCCGCTGAGTAATTATGTACAATTCACGCTGTACTTGTTTTTGTGTTAAAACAGTAAAGGAAAATCCTTAACATTAGTGGAAAAAAATGATCAAATACACAGTAATTTTTACTATGAGAAAATAAAAATGAAATGGGCAGAAATAAGGAGGTAAACAAATGAAAAATAAAATATCCAAGACCTGAAACAAATGGTTTATGTGTATTTGTATTGTCATAATAGGATAAACATTTTTTCTCTGTCTAAGGTGGTTGTCAATCACCCGTCTGTGTACTCCATCCACACCTGTCCATATAACCTAATAACATTGACAGAAATCTATATCTCTCAATGACTTATTAGCAAAACATATCTGGCATTTTTATGAATCTCCAGTTTCTCATCCCTCAGTAATCAAATCGAAGACTTCACTATGAAGTCATCACGATCACAACTGATCCTCTGTCAGAATTGTTGGTATGGTTGACTGATGTCTGCTGGTGGTGATAGTCACTTGATGGTTATTATTCTAGTTCATAAATGCTTAGTACTGTGTTGTTAACCATTGTGAATTTCCTTCTAACCTACCTTATATTTAATGCATTTTGTAGTAGTTGATAACTTTATATGTATTGTTGCGCATCTATACAAAAGAGATCTCAATGAGACAAATGATACCTTATTGTATATTTATAAACTTTACGATACTGTTGCAATGTTCAACATTAAAATTGAATCGTTAGCTCATATATTTAACTTTTGACCGGTTGGTCACGGTTGTTTCACCTAATAATGTTTCGGTGATACGACTTGTTTTTAAATGTGATAGGCGTAATTAATTTCTATGAACTTTGATTAAGAGTTGACCTAATAACTTCGCAGATATTTCAATGTTAAGTGAACGTAAACACATGATATATACATAACCTACTCTTGTTAATTGGTTTATGTTTAGTTTTCAGTCTGTAAGTGAGGTCACAAAAGCTATCAGTAATTTGAAACGAGGCAAAGCGGCAGGACCCGACGGAATCATTCCGGAGGTGTTTAAATATGGGGGTGACATACTAGTTTGTAGATTAACTGAGGTACTAGGCCAAAGTCTGGGAATCAGAGACAGTTCCATCAGACTGGGGTAAGTCACTTATTATACCGATATTCAAAGAGGGAAACAAGTCCTCATGTGATAATCATAGGGGGATCAGCCTAACGAACATAGTCTCTAAAATCCTAGGCTCAGTAATCATGCATAGACTAAGCAGAACTCGGGGGGAACAGACAAGGGAAAATCAAGCAGGCTTTAGACCAGGTAGAGGGTGCATAGATCATATCTTTACTCTCCGACAGATTCTAGAACATAGACACACTTTTCGGCGTCCAACAATTACCATATTTCTTGACTTGAAGGCGGCCTTCGACTCCGTGGATCGAAAGGTACTATGGCAATGTCTGACTGTGAAGGGAATGCCAAGAAAGTACATTGCACTAATCAAGGCACTCTATTCAAACTCACGTAGCCGTGTAAGGGCTTATGGGGAATTGTCATCTGAATTGGTAACAACCAGTGGTGTCCGACAGGGATGTCCACTTTCCCCATTTCTGTTTAACTTCATCATAGATATGCTGATGGAAGTATCCTTAACTGAACGTAACGACTTAGGAATCGACTTGTTACCAGGGAATAGTCTTATGGACTTAGAATATGCAGATGACATAGTCCTGTTAGGGGAGGATGGTGACAAAATGCAGAGTCTTCTGAACACCTTGAGCAACAACCTTCGTATGTTTGGCATGCGATTCGCCCCTCCAAAATGTAAGATGCTGCTACAGGACTGGACTACGTCAACTCCTAGCTTAGTGATAGAACATGTTGACCACTTCACCTATTTGGGAAGTTGTTTCAGCACCAACGGACTGATTGGCGACAAAATCTCAGCAAGGATCCAAAAAGCTCGAGCTGCTTTCGCTGACTTACACCATCTCTGGCGTAGGCGTGACATCCGGTTATCAACCAAGGGACGTGTGTACTGCCCAGCAGTTCGCTCCGTCCTTGTCTATGGCTCTGAAACATGGCCAATACGCGTTGAAGACATGAAAAGGTTGACTGCTTTCGATCATAGATGTCTGCGATCTCTGTCTCACGTTAGGTGGTTTCACAAGGTAAGTAATGTTGACGTTAGGCGTAGAGTGTTGGGAAAAGAGGGAAAATCAATCGACGAGGCTATAAAGTTACATAGATTGAGATGGCTAGGTCGGTCACGTGGTGCGCATGCCTAACCATCGCCTCCCCCGACGCTCATTACTAGCTGATATAGGTGGTGCAGGTTGGAAAAGAGTAAGTGGTGGCCAAACAAAAACATGGCCTCATCAATCCATGAAATCCTTGACAGTTAAACTGAGTCGGTCAGGTAGGGAGATGCAGACTTCCGGGTTGGGGCCCTCGGGACTCTAGGAATCAATGGCTGGAGACAATAGGTGACATGGCTCAAAATCGTTGTCAATGGCCAGCGCAGATGTATTCAGTCTCTGTAATCTTTCATATTCGTTTCTACCATTACCCATTCTGTTTCACTCTTATACTTGTCAGACTGTATTGATTCTCTTCACTCATCTTCTTGTCTACCTCTGTGTGCTATTTGGAAGGTGGCAACTCGAACTGGTGCACTTCGGTGCCAAGTTCTATGTTGAATCCAGACAGACAGACAGTTGTTCAACCTTTAACAGATGAGTAGCCAATTTTACTAGAATGTTTTATAATAAGATAGTTACATCAAAAACGCCTCCTTTCAGTTGAACAAAAGGCAGTTTATTAACAGTTCACCATCATAAATAGTGATCCATTGTCTGTCGACGCGTGAATTATCACCATTTCGTAGGTCATGGCTTAACTCTTTATTGTACTTTTTACACTGATGTAAAACTAGCTCTTCCTAGTTTTAATCTTTTTTCTTTCTTTCTTTTAAGGTCTACCTCATTTTATTGAAGTGAGGAGAGAACGATTTCGTTCTGCTCTTGAATTAACTCTACAAGATACATTTGGAATTGATTGTTTAGAAGAAGACAAAATTGAACCAGATGCTAATCATGTACTTGTACATGTGGATTCACATGTGGGTGAAATCAATCTATGCGATATGGTAAGTTGCCATAAAAGAATTTATTTTATCTCTTGTTTTTTTAAAGACGTGTTATGTAACTCATGTGCGTCAATGCTCACCAATTATGCCGCAGGTGGTCCGCGGTTCGATCCTTGGTCGGTGCACTGCTAAACCTCGCTAAGTCGGTAGTGAGGCTGGCAATCCCACCCCCATAAAAAATCAAATCTGGAAAAAAGATCACTACTATCGAAACTTCAAAGCTCTAGCTTAAAGCCCTAAGTTCCACTTGGAATGTCTGTCTGTCTGTTTTCGACATAGAACTTTGCACTAATGTGCGGCAGTTCAAGTCGCCACAATCCATGTAGCACACGAAGCAAGGAAGAAAGTACAAGAAAAGCATAATTGAGAAAGTAAGCAGAGGTGTGAGACAAAGGAAGAGTAATAACGAAGAACAAAACTGTTTCATTGGAAATCATGAGTCACAAGGAGTGGATGCATCTGCGCCACTGAGAACGATTTTGAGCCATGTCACCAATTGTTCCCAACCATTGGTTTTTACCCACCCGAGGACCCCAACCCGGAAGTCTACACCTTCCTACTTGGCTTAAACTAACTGTTGTCGATTTCATTGACTGGTTCGGCCACTTTTTTGTTTGACGTCCGCTAGCTTTTTTCCAGCCTGACCCTATATCCGCTAACATTGCCCGTCGAGGAAGGCGATGATTAGGCATACGTAACACATGTCCTAACCATCTCAGTCTTTGTAACTTCACAACCTCGTCGATTGATTTCCCCTCGACGCCTAACCTCAATATTGCTCACCTTATTATGCCACTTCATACGGGAAATAGAGCGCAGGCACCTATGATCAAAGACAGCTAGGCAGGCTTTTCATGTCTTCCACTCTCAGTGGCCAGGTCTCACAGCCATAAAGGAGGACGGAACGGACTGATGAGCAGTACACCCGCCCTTTGGTCGATAGTTGAATATCTCGTCTACGCCAGAGACGGCGTAAACTGACAAATGCGAAACGAGCCCCTTGTATTCGTGCTGAGATTTCGTCAGAGATCAACCCGTCGGTACTGGCTGATGGTACTTCCCAAATAAGTGAAGCGGTCAACGTGCTCTACCACTTCACTTCCTATTTTTAAACTAGGCGTCACTGTAGTCCAGTCCTGTAACATCATCTTGCATTTGGCGGGAGCGAGTTGCATGCCAAACATTCGTAGATTGCAGCTCAAGGTGTTTAGAAGACTGCTGAATTTTGTCAGCGTCCTCGCCTAGAAGGACTATATCGTCTGCATATTCTAAGTCAACGAGATGATTCCCTGATGGTAGCAAATCAATCCTTGAGTCGCTGAAGTGAGTTAGGGTTAAGTCTATTAGTACATCTATGATGAAGTTGAATAGAAAAGGGGATAATGGGCATCCTTGACGGACACCACTTGGAATGTAAAGGAATGAAATATGTAACTGATGCTTTTATCGTTCGCTTTAAATTCAGAGAAATAGTTGGTCGATGGTTTCATAATTTTCATAACTTGTAGCAGATTAGTTCTTTGAGGTCTTCATTTGTAAATTTTTATCTTAGAGCTGATATACTGCCCCGAAAATGCATGCTAAAGTTGATTACCGTCATAAAAAACTTCTAATTTTTTAAAATAAGTAATAATTCACAAACCATTGAAATCTCATGACAACTAAATTACCTATACGTAGGTTCGTATACTGTGTATTCTTTCGGGATCAAACAGTGTATGTGCACAACTGTTTCAATTCACACTCTTCTCTATACATAAAGGAAATTTGTCCTGTTGGACAATATATTTTGGATCATTGTAATTCAATCAACTATCACTAAAGATATTACCTGGGAAGCATCGTTTCAACTACAGGCGGACGTAACTGATGAAGATATCAAGGCATGGTTTCATTACTCTCAAGTCTGTATGGAGGTTGACAACCCTCAGCATGAAAAATAAGATCCTGATTTTCCACTCCAATGTTAAGTCAGTGTTACTTACTATATAGATCAGAGACTTGGCGCCACGTCACGAAGAGCACTTCGAACAAATTACAGACCTTCGTTCAATACTCAAGACCAGATGGCCGACCAGAAAAGATCAGCATTGGGGATCTCTGGGTGCAAACCGACCAGGAACTGACTGTGCAACAAATCTACAGGAAGAAATGTGTGTGGGTAGGCCATACTCTGAGGAAACCATCAAGTGACGTCAAACGCCTGGCCATCGCTCGAGTGGAACTCGAACGGGAAGCGGCGAGTATGTCGCCCAAAGGTGACTTGGAGTAGGTCATGTGATGAGGAGATGAAAGCATTTGGGCAGACATGGAGCCAGGTGAAAACGTTGGCAGAGAACCGACCACAATGAAGACGTGTGGCTGAAGCCCTATGTTACTCTATGAACTAAAGGAAACATTAATAATAATCACTAAAGATATGTGCTTTTTACTTATATGCCTAAGATAACATTGACTTTGATGCAATTTCTTTTGTTGATTTTTTTAGTCTGTATCGTGTAAAACCAATCCAAAATTGGAGCATATTCTTCAAGTTATGGTCAACCGATTGAATCATTCTATTGAAGCGATGTGAATATGATCATTATTACTTGAGTCAGGTGATAATCACCTGAATGTTTTGTAAATTATCACACACTTTTATACCTCTTTTATTGAGTAAATAAAAAATTTCCTCTTTGAATATTTCTTCTTTATATTTTCTAACAGTATTGTCTCCAAAAACCCAAGTACACCCTGTCGTTTATATTATTAAATTCTATAATACAGAAATGTTGTTTAATGCACTAGTTAGGTGATCGTGTTTCTAGTTCGTTTTTTTTGTACAGCATCGTGTACTATGTGCCTTACCTTTTTTTCTCTTCATCTCCACGATATGCTCACTGGTAGTTGGATAGATAATTAAAAATATACGTGAATACATTAAGACAATAAGAATAAGCGAAATTATGATGTAGTGTGTTGAATAAAATTCAGTTAGCTCAGTGATGATTCAGTCAGGCCGCCAAGGCTAGATACAATCTGGAAGCATTTCATTTACTGATTATAAGAAGTGTACTTTTCTGAAGTTAGACAACTTCAACCTTGAAGCATTTTTCTTCAAAGCTCTATGTTGATGCGTCTAGTTAAACTAGTCTATAAAGCTTACTTTTGTGTACACAAATTAAAAAGTGAACAACACATTAACTTATGAAATGGAAGTCAAGTCCAGTATTTATATTTTGAAATTTTCTTAAGAATGTAAATCCGTAAACTATGTTTCAAAACTGTAATTACATCAAAAATAGTATAATGTGTTGTCATAGTAACAGAAATATAAGTAACACCATTATTATTATTATTATTATTATTATTATTATTATTATTATTATAACAGTAGTACAGTTGTGTATATTTTATCAGCAGATTTTTGAATACAAGTGTGATTTATACTTGAAACCTAGTGGTAAGTGCCAGCATAATTAAGTATATATATATATATATATATATGATTATGACACAAGTTACGTCCGGAAAACTGTTTTCAGTAATGATTCTTTTCAAAGGGTGCATAATAATGCTGATATGTATTCCTAATAAAGTGATACAACTTCTCATTTTCAGGAGAGATAATAATCCAACATTAAATAAGAACTAGGATGGACACACTTAATTGAACAATATATCTTATTAGTGGAATAGTGATAATGAGAGAAATTGTATTGTCATTCAACTATCAGATTTGATTAGTTGAAACTTATGACTCAACGATTCATTAAATCGAGTGTGAGGAGAGTTACTGACAAAGACAACCGTTTTGGACGAAGTCGTTAACTAGCAGGCGCCATGTTGGGGTTTCCATCAAGTGTCTTTATCGTTTGTGGAAATATTACTAACTTTCAAATGCCAACTCCATTCCGTACGCTTGATAGAAGGTAGTGGGTGCATTTACGTCGGCCCTTTGTAGAAATAAACAACCTTAACAAGACTGGGAGGAAGGAATTAAATTGATTTAGTGACTAGCATCTGTAAGGTAGGAAGTGTTCATGGAGAGAGAGAGAGAGAGTATTCTTTTACCAAATATTCTGGAAATTACCCATTATGACACATATCACTTTTGAGTATTAGGCGGATGAAGTAAAGTGTATCTTTCAAAAAAGAAAAAAAGATCGGATTTGCAGTATAAAATGATATCATTCTGCTTCCCAGTTCCTCATCAGCTGCTGCAAGCTACATGGAATTACAATGATTATAAAAGATAACAATAACATACTTCAATGTTTGAATATTTGTAAAGAAAATACTACAAAGTCAATGCATCCGAAATATAAGCATTACAGTTTTGTAGTTGAAGTTACTATCAATGTATATGCTTTCAAAATGGAAAAAGTGGAGAAGATAGAAAACAGAAAAATCTAATTAAACATTGTTAGCAGCATGTAGGTTGACATAGCAACTCAACAAGGTTATATATAGTTCATAAAAGTGCATCTAATTAACAGATGTTATCTGTGACTTGTAAGGTGGTTTTATCTGCAGCTGCTACTATTTAACATAAAAAAAGAACATAATTAGGAATGATTACTTCAGTCACATATGGAACATTGTCCTCCATAGCCTTATTTATTCTAAACTTCTCTGATTTATAATAGCAGACAACGGATTATGAATCCTCTACCATATATTAGAGTTATTTGGGCTCATGTTCTGCCTAACTTTAACAGGAGAAAACTCGCATATATCGTTTGTAAATTAAACATGCATAAGTCTGATTGGGAGTTGACGTACTAAGCTATCTATAAGGTCAATTTAAGTCAATACTTAGTCTATTAGATAAGTAGAATATATATATATATATATATATATATATATATATATATATATATATATATATATATATATATATATAGCAGTAGCAATCATTTAATCGGTATTAGCCCATTCAGAAGTATTTTCCAGAAAATAATATCAATAGTTCCAAAGATTTGTCATTAGAAACCTTATGTTGGTGATGGGTCAAGGCAGATAACTACAACAAGATGTAATAAATAAGGTCTGCCCCAAATAAGACGGGGAAACCCTTGTAGCTGAGTTACACAAGATAGTAAAAATTGAGTACTTTCAGCCTAAGACAAGATGGTGCGAACTTACTAAATTGCATGAGAATAATACAATGGTAAAATACTTCATCTTGGTGCTGAATAATTTAGACTGGAATATCACAGTTGACATGGATTTCCTCAACAAGAAAAAAATGTCGGGGTGGAATGCTAACAGACCCTGAACACAAATCAATGAGGATTAATTTTCATGAGACTGTAAACTACTGATTGGTTGATATTAGCAGCTGTTTGCCACTTGAACCAAAACACCAGACGTCCATTTTGGTGAGCTCATCAGCTAAAAGAGCTGAACCAGTTGAAATTACCTGATTTCTGGCTTATGGGTTTTCAAAGGAAACTACGGTGAAATTCCACCCCGAAATGTGTTAATTGCGAATTTGATCTAAGGGTTATTTCCAAACGACCATTACTACTCAAAACCAATGAGAAATATATTACAGTAGCATAGACACATACTGAATACCTTACTGTTCCCTGTTTGTTTTCCTATTGCTCAGCTTTTATCATCTTTGATAAAATTGACATTTGTATTATTGTATATTATTATCCCTTTGAGCTCCGAGTGAAACATGGGGCTTCAGCAACATACCTACACTTTGTTATATTTTCTGCTGTCCTCTTCAGCTGATTAGCCACACGATTGCCCATAATGTCTCATCTCTTCCTCTCACGATCTCCTCCATGTCACCCTAGGACGACCCTCGCGTCACTTCCCATCGTGATTCCACTCCAGTGATGGCCTTCATTGAGCGCGGTGTCATTCGACAGTCTCCTCAGCGTATAGCCGATCCATCTCCATTTTCTTCTACATATTTGTTGACCAGTCGGCTATTGATTGCTTCTTTACACTACAGAGTTTGTGGTTGCTGATTCTTCCCAGTTGGTCATTTGGTCTTCAATGTAGAGCCAGAGAAGGCGAATGTTGATAAAAGTGTGCCACCAGCCGTTGGAAATGCTTTTCGTTACGCGTGTGTCAAGTTCCTGATTCATACAAAAAAACTGACTGATTGAACATTGGTGTTGTACCCCGAATCTTATTGTTTATGCTGAGGCTGAGTGACAGCAGAAGATTTCCAAACTGGTTTCAGAATGATGGAATTCTGTCTTGCCTTTCCGATTCTGACTGGTTGGCTGGCTGGCTGGCTTTGACATCTTCATCCGTTTCGACCTCCTGTGGTTAAAAGAATGCTGCCTCGATAAGCGAAGGCAGGAAGTAGTGATCTCTATCAAATTTCTCCCGTTGATGGTGATTGGTGTTAGCTGTTGTTGCTGTCGGTGGTGGTGGTGGTTGGTTATCTTCATTACCTCCGTCTTCTCTGTATTCACCTGGTGTCCTGTCTTCACCACCGGCCTCTTCAGCCAGTTTGTTGCTTTTTGCCTGTAGGTCTTCTAGTTTGTGTGACATTAAACATAAATCATCTGCGAAATCCGAATCATCTGGACTCTTTTTGCCGGTTTATCATATTCCTATCCCGTCGCTCCCATGCACAGTCTGACGCATAATCCATTCCACCATCATTGGTAATAATAGACAGCCTTGTCTTATTCTCGTGTTTACCTCGAACGCCTCGCTGAGTTTCCCGTTGTGGATCACCTGACACGTAGCCCTGTCACTGATATTTACTTAACATTTTTCCTTCTCTCTACTAATTTATGGGGTATATACGTTATTCTAACTTTTCGCTGTTTTCTTATGTTTATTTCCTTTTTTAAAACAAAAAATTTCATGAAATTTTTAGATGAAATATGTAGTGGAACCACTGGGAACCGTAGATACTGGCATCTCCTTACTAATACATATTCTCAGTCTTTCTTTGATTAAACTGTTGCAAAATTACTATGAAGTAACAACTCTCCATCATTGTCATTACCAGACTGATATCTAGTATAAGTATTAAATGAAAATTACATTAGAAGAATGTTGAAGACATACCATATATTTGTCGAATTCGATAGTAAAATTGTGGGTTTTTCTTTAAGGTTATAAGTTGGTTTCAGATGATTAATTAAAAAGTATTCAAATTAGAATAACGCGTTTGTCTAGCCTGAAAATGCTTATATAATTGGTCACTCATACGATATTGAATTCATGATGTAAGTTGCCTTTTCGTTAAGCCCTACATTACAGCATAAAAATGTTCCACTCGATGTTGAAAAATTTCATGGGGAAAATTTCAAACCCCGATGACTAATTAAAACAGTGTGGAATAATGTAAGCAGCTGTAGTATTGTAATAACAGAAGACAAGGGCCATGCAACAGATCGTTTATTAAGGAAATCAACACATATTTATAGATTTTCATTTACATATTATAGATTATTGTTAGCAGAAAAACACAATCTTCTGATTGGTTGTTTCTCACAGAAAGTTAACCTTGCATCTCTTTGTGACTCTTCTTGAGTGTCAGATCATCTATATGTTAACTGTATCCGCCTACGCAAAGCCTTTGTTCTCATTTTTCTCACGACCGATATTGGGGACATAAACATTGACGTGAATTACTGCCCACCAATTTTGACTATCAGCCAGCTGTCACCGCAGTATTACCTACCATTGAATGGAATCAGTTCTGTTGTCTACCGAATGTTTTTAGTCAATGATGTGCATTATTTTCACCAGTTTACTATGAATTGTTTTTGAAACCTGACTCTTTATTTCTTTATCAATTCAATTAAGAATATGGTTCCCTCATGAAATACCTTCACCGGTCAGTCATCTCATTACAATGAATGACATACAATGGTAGTAAGATATATAAACTATGTGAATAACTTATATTAAGTTTCATATTGAATGGCAATGCGAATAGCTAGCTGTTATTAGATATTCCATACCCATAAATTCAAAATAATGTTGTGATGGAGAAAAGTATGTAACAATTGCTGATTCATTCGTATAGTACTCAATGAATATGTATATATATACTACTGAAAAGGTATACATTAAAGCTAAACACCGATATATATATATATATATATATATATATATATATATATCACTTATTCGCTTTGTTTTTCACTAAATGTTTGTTTGCTGAAAATGACCTATGAATTCTTAGCAGTCTGATCTAAATTGAACAACTTAGTTATGCGTAGACTACAAGTCTAAAAAATGCGACATCTGAACTTAGATCTACTACTTTAACTATTTAACCTATATGTCGCGATTACAATAGAACAAACTTATACATATCTATATTAGCTATTACTATT